TGTCGCTCCGTCCGAGTGCGCCAGGTATACGTCTCAGGAGTTTATACGACAGAAGAGGACCTCGCCAGGTACAACTTGCCTCCACCCGCGGGAGCTGTCACCATCCGTGGGTGGACATATCCCCACCATGCTACTAGTCTACATGTGACAGTTTTTAGTGCGGTCGCAGCGGTGGATCACCCAAGGGTTTTTCTCTTTCACCGTAGCATAAGGGGTACGAGCGGTCACACTCGAATCGAATCCACACACAAACTGACACTAGAGGCGTTGATCCCCCTAGCACGGATCATCGCTGGTCGACTAGGACACTTGGTTAACCACGCAACTCACTTCCGAAGTAAGCGAAGATTGATCCAGTCCTTAAACAACCTTGTGCAGTGTCATCAACTTTCGCGACCACGCAAAAAAAATAGGTGAATCATTAAGTATGATTAAGATAGAAAAAAATTGTGTTACTATTACATTGGTGTGGTTTGCCCAACAGCATTCCAAGAAGCATAAACAGACATCAACCCAAACCTAGTACTTTCATGCTAACATATATCCTCATAATTCCAACAATCACATACCACGCATCGACGTGGTCAACTTAACCGTTCCTCATACCTTACACCCCGCCTCACATCACTCAAACCTCGGTTACTACTTCCCACCTCTTGCACGGGAACATTCAGACCTTTAGGTTGATCATGAACCAAAGTAGGGTAAAACCTCAACGGTAACACATCAATCCCTCGAGGTTGGAGGCTTCAAGTTGGGGTACAGAAGTAGGCAAAGTTGTGCCGCAAAAGGACCTGTTATCAAAAGATAACAGATGATGATTACCCTTGAACTAAGATCAAGCCAGGGGCTAGTCGACGCCTTTCAGTCAACCAATGACCTGGATTACAATACAGGCCAAAAAAGTGGTCGTTGTTATCAATGCGGTCGGAGAACACACTCTGTATCACATATTAATCCTTCTCTAGCTCTTTTCCTATCTTTCTCTGATCGGCGTCAGGGATTGATTAAAATTTTGATAGCACTTCCCCTAAGAATCAATCGTCTGAGTACTGATTCGTTAGCAGCATATTTTACGATTCACACCTTTTGCCTCATAGGTGCGTGAGCGCTTATAGAAAAACTGGCTCATAACGGTGGAACCGTTAGTTCTTATTTATACAAACAAAGAACCTTGGCAATACCGTGGGAAGTCGGTGGATTGTATGTAGAAAAGAAAGCAATTCAATGAACGTGAGCGCCTTCATAGACTCCCTAACGACTGACTCGAAATAGGAGAGCATGATTGATTTCATGCTAGTACGGCAGTAGTCACCCAATTTAATTTCAATTGAGGATCTACTTAGTTCCTAAGGCGAGCGGCTCGACTGACTCCTAGTCGTATTGGATCTAGCAGATGAAGATGGAAAGCGTAGATGTATGAAATTGTCAAAGTTTTTTCACCTCAGTTTTTTATAAACTCCCTAAATTTCCAAAACAGTTAATCTTGCAAAAGGTAAAATTTGACTAAAATTTTGAATTAATAAAATTTTTGGCATTCCCAAAATTTTTACTAAGTCGAATCTGAAAGACCCTGCTTCGGGACACTCTCTCCTCACTGCCTTAAACATGTTTAATAGCCACCCTCTGATTGCCCCGAGTCTTGGATTGTTCCTCTTTTGAGAATGTAGAGTGCGCTGCTATTCCATTAGGAATCAAGTCAGCTGAAGTGAGAATCAAAGGTTTAGCAGACCAACCTACTGATTCTCTTCCGGTTATGTTGTTACGGGGATATGGCTGAACCACTCTGCTTAGGGACACTATTCAGCCTGTTAGGGTTACGTTGAGTATTATATACTCAAACTTTACTTTCCTGCCTAGGCTACCAGAGTGGCCGGGGACCACAAGCCCGGACTGGCAAAGAGACAATAAACATTAATATATATATGTGACGATATATATATATATTTATATATATATTAACTTTATTTTTCAATTATTTTTCGGTAGAAAATTGCAATGTGGCCTTGAGGCAAAAGTTGTTCATTTTTGGTGTTAACGGTGAGATGGTGTGACGCCCAAGCCTCACGCCCGACGCGACTTCCTGATCGAAGTGGGATGGGGGCATGGAAGTGCGAAGAGGGGTGTGCCTAGGATTTTTGGGAAAGTGGGGGTTGAAGTCCCAGGTCAGAACTGGGATCTTCTGTGGCCGAGTTCAAGGGTCGTGGGTGCAATACTGCCGAAGGGCAAGGCAAGCGCGCAATTACCGCGTATCTCACCGTTTCGGGTTTGATGGGGATCACCGTGGTGCGGGGGACGGCCGCGCGTCCTGCCTGGGGACTCAAAAACGGGTCGATCGTTGCGCACGCCACGGGTTATGGGCGCGCTGGTCAAACCGAAGAGCACGCGGGTGGCGCCTAAGTTAACACTCTCTGCACGGTTCAGGCCAATACGCGGCTATGACCCGCCATGGCACCACTGTGAGCTGGTGATATGGGAGGAGAACACGGAAGGGAGGGTAATTAGTGGCGACAACCACGAATCCGGGAGAGGTGTAATATTGTGTGTAATTCGGTTCGGGATAGTCTGCTCCGCGCGGATCATTGGTTATCGCACGATGAAATTCCCGCTCGCACTCTTGGTTTCTCGTATAATTCGGGAATTCCGGATACGCTCCTCGYGTGCGATAGTACTCTCGGCGGGATTCCTGGATCCAGGGCTCAAAGTATTCCCTGTCCCAAGATGAGCTAGAGCCTGAGGACCGTGTYATCGTTGCGTGTGGTTCTCAGACATGGGTTCTCAGATATGCTCGACGTAATTTTTGGGTCGGGATGATGACGTCAATTATAAACTCAAACAGACAATCTGCACATACATCCAGCATAATGATAGCGGCCAACTAATCACGATGCAATCAAAACTTCACGAGGTTGTGAGCAACTAATCCCATACATWRGTGAGGAGCAAGAGAAAACGATGCGCATTCCATCAATTCATCCACGTCGACAAAAGGCAATCAAAAGAGAAGGAAATGCAGGATGCGCCAATTCAGGCGAAAACCAAAACAGAGATATC